GTTGGGACTGTGGCTTTTGGAATCAGCTGGACCCTTCGTGTTTAGGCTGCAAGTCGACTGGGGCTCAAGAAACCCGACCACTGTGTTTTTGTTCATGGCAGTGTTTTTCACAACATGTTCAACCCAACCCAACGAATAACGGTGACGGCCGCCAATTCGAGGGTTTCATTTGGGCCACCTTAAAAGACGCATGTGGTAACCGATGGAACAATGACAGCTTCATCAGTGTGCTTGCACTCAGTGAGAGGTCTGCTTATTGGATGCCTTCTGATATATAAACAGACAAAGAATGACGAAAGCGACGCATCATGAAAGATCCTCGAACTTACTGAACTGGTAGAAGATTCATAGCCGTTGTAGAGAACCAGTTGTGTTGATTGGTTTTGTTTCGTATTCCCAGTGTGGTTCTAAAGTAAAAAAAGAACTGTTTCGATGTGTTTATTTAGTTCCAATGCTGGATGCATGCCGGTCGCTCGAACCATCATGTTACAACCAAAACGGTATAATCGAGGGACTCGTGATGTCAGAACCTCCTATTAGGTAAGACAAACCCAGACCTGAGTTTCTACACGATACTATTGTATGCGAAGAAAAACATTAACTCAAAGGTACATCAATTTCCACAGAAGATACTCGTCTGCAACAAATGATCCAGTTGGATTGCAAGACTACAAACGACGCGAACAAAACAGACTGGGGCACGTGAGACAGTTACTCACAAGCCAAGCCTATGATAATGAATGGCTTAGCTGAAATATTAACCAACCGCGCTTAGAAGTGGTTTGGTCCGGTAGTTGGTGCGTCGGCCGCGGTTTGATTCCGGGGCCTATCGATCAAATTCTTTACTCTGTCAATGAACAAATGCCTTTTTTCAGCTTTGACCCTCCCATCTGGTACTAAGAAGGCAGTTGGAAGACACAGTTCTCACAACGACTGGCGCTAGAAATAACATTATTTCTATGACAGATTTCGCCAGAAAACACTATCAGCTGTGCTGACGGTCATCCACAGCACAAAAATATGGATAAACAACATGAAGACAATTGAAAGTTCCCAATTTTAATAGGCTTATGAACGTGGAAATTCTTGGTCATGCGGTGAAGCTTATTTCTAGATATCTGACGTTCCCCAAAACCCATCCACCCAGTAAACACAGTGCCACCGATGGCTAACGGTGGCCAAAGGTGGCTAGCTTTGCCAATGATTCAGTTGGTGAATATAAGCTAAACATAGGATTTGTTGCATGGAAGCCTTCTGAAAACAAATGTGACAGGATACTCTGGATACTGGAGCTCTATTTACGAAGTAATTTTTGAAACCGATTTGTTTGAATGCACCACCGATTAAATATATAATGAAATTTTCGGGTTGCCACCTTTGGCCGCTTTTAGCCACCGGTGGCGCCATCGGTGGCAAATGTAACATGCCACCCCTATTTGCCACCTCTTGCCACCGGTGGTGCCGCGATGACGTGTTTACTGGGCATTGAGTCCCTTTGGGGCTTGCGATCAATTTTTACTAGTTTAGTTCTACCTTGTGCTCATAATAGAGCCCGTTTGAGCCTGATGATTTGCTTTGCCCGATGCTGCTGGAGCTGACCGAGCCCTGAACTGGGTTACTTGTTCGAATAAGAACAAAAGATGAATTTCAAGAACCTGGATTTGACGTTGGGAAATTAGCTTGCTTTGCGAGGTGCACGATGACCTTGAAGATTTGTCTATTTAAACAAAATGCTTCCAACAAAAGGCTACCGAAATGCACAGCTGTAATAGGCGCAACATTTGTATACATCTACATCCAAAGCGTCACAATTTTGGTTTGCACTTAGTGATTGGCGCCACGTGTGCACAGTGATGGTTGTAAGTGACTTGATGGTCAGAACACAAAAGTGGACCGGGAGTAACAAACAGCGACGGATAAACGTGGGAAACTCACAATGTCTGAACAGAGGATGATGTGCATCATGACCAGTGCAGTACACTCAAAACCGACTAGGCTTATCCCTATTCAGATGCAAATCACGGAATAGTACGTACACAAATCAGCCTCTTGGGTTAACTAATTGGATATGAACTAAAATCATGGCTTAAACCATAAAAATCTGGAATCACCGATTTGACAAAAACCTGTTTACGTTTGTTAGTACGAAACAAGTCAGAATATAGTCTTGTTGTTCCTATAATGCCACAAGAAGTGAATCTGTCCAGTACGAAGTTTCTTTGTTGTTTTTACACGGTAAAACAGAGACTCAAACTTTCAACATGAAAAAACCTATTTGGCTTAGCTTCGTTTTCTACACACTCCCCATTTTATGCACACCCCAATGCTGTACGGTATTCTGGAACAAAATGTGAGAAATATAAGGAAAACAAGCTTTGAAAGGAAGGAATCTACTGGAACGCGAGGCAGTGATTTTGACCACTACTTTTAGAGGTCATTGCGTGAACCCTATAGTAGAACTACGGGAAGTAGGGAGCCCTATAGGGCCCACTTTCCAGTACAATGTGATCCCTCAAACCAGATCAACTATTTCGAGCCTTTAAAATCTCTTGGCCCATCGGCTCAACAAAACTGTACTACCCAGACTTTGGTCCCCGCAATGCCTCGTTTAACCTCCGAGCCTTTTCTATGAGGTCTCTGACAGTCCTGCAAATGAAGCACCGACCAGTGAAGGGCAAAATCTCTGCCCTGTCTGTATAAGTCACTGATTCTAGCGGCTGAGTTGTCTGACGGTCCATGCCCAACAAGATTACAAGAGCACATAACTTCGACCTGATAACGTAGAAGAAGTGGAAGGCTGGCACTGCCTTGCACATGAGTAGGGTTTGAAAAGGTAAGTGATTCATACTTCCATGACAGAGGTAATGGGATCTTTTAGACTAATTGGAATGGGAACGTAACTAGTACGGTGGCAAACAGGCCTCAAGGAGGACGTTTATAACTGGTGGGTTCCAGGTTTATCGCGTTTATTTCCCCTTACACCCAGTTTGACAGCTGTTTGTGTGGGACTAAACGGAGAAGCGATGGAGTTTTCTCACATTTAACTGTAGCCAAGTATGAGCCTCAGGTAAAACCGAGATCATCTCTGAGCCGTTTCATAGTAAACCACAAGTTTTGTGTGACTTTTTTTCGACAACTGGGTATTCAGTTGGCGGAGGAAAGTTGGAAACTCCTTTCGGGCCTCATTTTCATTTATGTGTTTACCAGTGGTCACCACTGAGACCGGTGCCACATGCTTCTCAGAAGTATAGCGTACCGATGAATTACAACACTTGTTCCGCAAAGCGTCACGACTCTTGGACTTCACAGTTATGTAGGTTAATGTGGGTCATGAAGAAATCTTAGGGATTTCCAGCACGAAGGGAAAATTTCTGACAGTGATGAGGTTGCCGGTATTTAATCACTGTCCTGGGATTGAGGAGGATTGTATCTGTTTAACTTTCCACCCAAAAGTCCCCAAAATAGAACTGCCACTTGTTGTAGTGGGTCATATTCCTGATAGTCCATGTTGAAAACAGGGTCATCAATTCGTCAGCCATCTTTCACGCGAAGTTTCTTCAAAGTATCTGCAACTGGAGTAGGAAGGATAATTTTGCAGTAAGCATGCTACGTCGATCAGACAGAATGTTTTCCTGCATGCTCCTACGTATTCCCAAATTCCTCCTAGTTTTCTTCCCGTGTTTGTCACTGCGGGCAAACTACGTAGTAAAATTTAGAAAAATCCCCTTGATTCATCTCAAAAGTGCACAAAATTGTCCAGATTACCAAGTTTGTGGCCCGATCATTTCATTTTATTGTACTTTCTATTTTGCTTCTGTTGTTACGAAGTAGGACGAATTACAAAACTCGCTAGTTCCGTTGTCGGAATCTTCTGGCCAGGTTTGCAGTCATCGTGAGATCGCTTTCAGGTCGATATCTCAGAAACAGCATGCGTATGGTGCATCAGGACGGAGGCCAGCAGCTCAAATGGGAACTCACTTGGGGGGATTCGTACATGGTAGTCCATGATATTGTCTATACGGCTATTAGGTCGTTCCAGTACCAAGGGATTCATTTGTGTCGATATTCGATAAGACTCCTATCATCAGTTTACGGTGGTATTGCAAAAAATACACGGAGATCAATTTTCTAGAACATACTAGCAATGACAAGCTATCACACACTGTCGAAAGCAACACTCAAGTGTTTTGGAAAGATGAACTGAATGAAGTTCAGTTTACCCCTTATTATGCAGTAGGAACAAGAGATTCTAAAGAACACTGTTTATTGGAAGGGTTGCCATATAGTGCGTTGCAAATGTCTCAGGATGATACACGCAAAACAAGACTTTTTCACAGTCTGGCCATTTCAACGTTTCATCCGGATTTGGAAATCAGCTTTCTTTTCAGTTCCCCAGTGGTAACCATAACCAAGATTTCTTCTCATTGGTAATCAGTCGGCCCAGCATCATCGACTCAACTCCCCGATAGGACAAACGCCTCCGAATCTATAGTCTGAACCATGTGACTAACGGTGGTATGAAAAGCGAATGCATCGTATCAAACAAAACATGTTCACCGTGCATCAAAGTGCCCGGGGTTGTGCCACCCTTCGGCTTAAATAAACTAAACTACTCAAATGTATCAAGTAGCCTGTGTGATTTCAGCCTAATGCGAACCCCTGGCTAGTGTCATCTGGTCGGGCCGCTGTAAACCTGGATCCTTCGTGCCACACCATTCTTTTCGGAACAAATATCTAAACACATGGAATCTCAATATCAAACCTGTAACCATGTCTTCAAAAATCACTGGCTTACTTCCCCAAATGTGTCAGTTAATTGAGAGATGGATATTATCACAACCCGGAGTGCTGACACAAAACCGGCAATTTTGAAATCCACCCAAGATTTTTCCAAGTTTGACTTCATAATGTACAAACTGTACTCTCAGTGAGTATTTACAATTGAGAGTGAAGATATGGAGGAGTATATAAAACGAATTCACCGTGCCCCCGTAAGAAATATGCTCTTGTCCAATGCTTCTCGGGGTGGCAGGAAGCATTGTCAAAGGGCGGTGCGTATGGTTGTTGTCTTGTTCGCTGAGCTAGGTGCTTCGATTGCGGACGTTTCATCACCAATCGAGGTGACACCATCAGTGCGTTGTCAGGGAGCGAAGGTGGGTGTAGGTTTGCGTCAGTTGGCACAACCACTGACCTATCACCAAGCTCCGAGCCCTAACAACACACCGATTGGTGATGAAATGTTTGCAGTCAAATGGTCTAGCTCAGCGAACATATCAACGATAACCTGGCTACCTGTGCTACAAGCACTATCCTCAGTAGCAAATAAGAGAAAGTATCGGAATGACATTCAGAGATGACCTATCTTGTCATATAAATCACCGTATCAGTCCTCGTAGCTCACTGAACGGACAACCCCAAGAAGATGTGAGTGTCGCCACTGTCTGCAAAAAACAGTCTACATATTATGTATCCCACTGGATTGTTCGCTTCGCAAAAAGGTCGTTAGAACTTCATTGCGTTCGCAAAACCTCGGATGGCAGATTACCGGAAGTTTATTATCAGACAATCTGGAAAGAAACTGACAGCACGAACGCCACTGACATCGATTAGCCGCCATTTCTTGCAACGTCTCCAGCTAAGCACAGGTGGGGTCACGAGGACGCCACGCTGGAAAGCGTGCAACACGAACAGCGCCCAAACTGCTCGTGATCTCTTTCACGCCCCTCTGCGGTTTTGCGCCATTCCGAAGGGGACACAGAGAACAACACTTGTCTCAGTAGATGGTGTTTCGGCATGCGTAGCTGGATGTTTTCCCCGATTGAAGTACCTGTCACACAACCAAATACCCGTTTTCTAATCACCTCGTTACTGGCACACTGACGCCATCCAAGACCAGCCACGCTTCAGAGTCATCGGTAGTCAAATACCTGAAGATGCCTCACATCATTTCCCAGCAGAGGCCATGTCTCGCAACTATACAACAACATAGCCCTTACCATAGCCTGGTATACACGATCCTTAAGATCCAGTGAGATGCACTTTTGACGCCACAATTGACGCAAATTCGCAAACGTGATTCGAGCCTTTAAGATTCTTGCAATGAATTCATCAGTCACATTTCCGAGGTATGCAAAGTTTTCCACAATCTCCAGTGATTCTCGTAAGGTAAGCAATATGTTCGGAGACTGCACGTTCTGAAGCACAACCCTACACTTTGAAGGTGAAAAGCGCATGCCAAAAGATGGTATGATGGTGGTCAGTCTACTCAACAGGGCTTGTGCTTCGCTTTGGGTTTCAACTATGAAGGCGATGTCATCTGCGTACTCCATATCGACAGGCCTCTCATCAGCAGCAATTCGAACACCGGGATTTTGAAGACCGTCCAGCGTTCGCCTCATTAGTTTATCAATAATGAAGTTGAACAAGAATAGGGAGAGTGGATATCTTTGTCTGACACCACTTTTTGTAGGGAAGCTTTTGGAGTGCTCATCATACACTCTCACCCGGCGAGAAGTAATATAGAGATGAGATCGGACTATGTTTACAGACTTGTGGGGCATACCCTATTGAGCAAGTGTAGTTAACAGCACCAATCGATCAACCGTTTCCTTCAACGAACGGCTGTGAGTGAGGGAAAGCCGGATTAACAGTTCTGAGATGAGTAAGTCATTACGTAGTGGAACTATCCAAAATCGAGAAATCTTTCCTCATCTTACGGATACTTTGTTACTGATCTGATGAAGCGACTCTCCAAAGTTTTCCAGTCATTTGGGCTTTCTTGTTGGTTGCAAACTGCGCATTCATTCCATCGTATGGAGACATCTTGGTCTTCCGTACCTAACTATAGTCATTAGCTAACTGTTGAGGAATCTGACGAGAAAAATTAGCCGGGCAGTGTATCTACCTGACGAAAACTACAAACAACGTACAGCTCAAGATTCCTGACTGAACCACATTGATTTCATCAATAAGCCATGAAAAAATCAGCTATAGTCGAGTCAAGGATTCGCGATAATTTCGAAGAAAATTAGTTTCGGACTACCGCCGCAGTCTCTTCAATGTTCAACGATTGTCAAACTCCGTTAACAGGACTGCGAGTGGCTAACAGGTGAGCAGCACAAAGGACCCAGTCATTGTGCGAATTACCGGTTTCGCTTCGGAGATTGTACACGCAGTCAGGCTAACGAATGCGATAGCATATAGAAGTAAAGCGAGAATGACAGTCTAATCGGAATAGGCGCCATTCGCCGATAAACTCTGGCTCAAAATCCATGTGCGCTCTAGCAACTGCGCCATTGCCCCTTACACATAAAAGTGCATTCTCACCACAGCTGCATGAAGCTTCAGCTCCTTGTTGCGAATCCGTTTGTCTGTCTGGTCCGTAAAAAGTTAGGACACACCTAAAAGTGCACTGGAAAGCAGCAGTGAGTGGTAAGCCAAACTGGTGTTGTTGCCATCCCCTCTGGATCGGTAGACATGGTGCAACGTTAAGATCGAGAGAGGCATGAACTTCGGAGACAATGAGACAGCCTGTGTACGCGGCATCAGCCCAATCCGGACCGTGCACACCAAGACGACAGGGTTCAGACCTGGTCACTGGGGCAAGACACAATCCGGGTTTTTGGAGGTCGCCAAGTAGGTTAGGACGGGTCCGTTATTTCTACAGAACTCGACTGGTGGAAGAAACTGTACTGCGATATGCCTAATGTCGTGCCACCTGAACAATGAAGCAGGCTTTGTGTAGCACATTTTGCTGAAGACTATCATAAACAAGAGGTTCAGCTAAGTCTTCAGTTAAAACCAAATCAGTGTACAACTGAACATACCTTTTGACCCCGGAGCTCCTTCCAAGTTCCCTAGTCCTTAAAAACTCGAGAAAGAGGTGTAGGTCTAACGATACCTGACAGCATCCCATCATCAACTCATGTGTGGTGAGGTGGTATATTTTGACCATTGAACCAGAAGCTAGGGTTTCATTTTAGGTACACAATCCCCAGCTATCTACGTAAGGTTTGACCCACGAGGTAGTGAGAGGCTGATCTAGCCCGAGGGTCAGGGGGCCAGTTTGGTGCCAGGGAGTAAGGCATAATTATCTGACTCCTAATGCCAGATTCCCATCGTATGGTTTTGGCCGAATGATTGGATGTTCAGACGACTTGCTGGGGCGTTGCAGGTTCGAAACTCCTTGGAATTTTGTGATATAAGCACTGCTGGCGATTCCCGATGAGGATGAAACGGCTGTCCAGTACTTCTCAACTTCACTTACGGGAGGAAAAATCATAACTGCCTGATAATGTCCAATATTCTCTCTGTAGCCGAAACTATGCAGGGGAAGAAGAGTGGATAAAAATGTAGTATACGGACGCAAGTGTCAACTGGATCTGATATGGCCTTATGTCTAAAAGTGCAAATGAAAATGCGCACAGTAACCTGTGTTCAGAGCGATCCACTTGATCATTTTCAGCCAATGATTGCAACTGAAATCCTACGGGGTAGCGGCATATCTTCAGTGGAGAGGTCACGTGACGCATGCAGATAAGTAGTGTTTCGAATTCCCCATCAAGGTTTAGCCCAGCTCAGTATTTATACAAGGGGGCAACGGTCCTCGTACGTTTTTTTAACATTGTAAAACAATCCTCCAGCGATGTACAGGATATTTATGCAGATAAAACACACTGCTCAAGAGGTTGCTAAAAACTTTTCGGTAGCTCACTACCAGTTGCTCCAGTCAAATCAGTGTGAAAATGAGTTCATACCATTGAGTAAAAGCCCAATTTTTAGGCATATTTATCACGTGTTCCGTTGGCCACTATCAGAAAATTTATCTTGGATGGAAGAAACCAAGGTAGCCCTGTGACCACCAGTTTGGGAACGTTTGGGGACAGAGGGTACGTGATTTGATCTCCTAGAAGTTTACATGATGCTTAGAACGATCACTGCTTCGCTTGCTGGCGACTTCACCAATTGGATGGAGCCAAGTTGCAATCGATTCACTAGACAGTGTTTGAAATTTACTGTGGCAGGTACCGCTTGCAACCTGTACTTGTTTGCCGAAGGTACGTAACGAGAATCAGTCAAGCGCTCCGGGGATACCACACTCTCCGCTCTATCCTACGAAGCATATAAGTTAGCCACAAAACTTCACTTTTCCATGGTGAACACTTTTCTCGCGGTAACACTCCATGAGGAAATCCCATCTTGGGAGACTGTTTGTACAGCCGGCGACTTCACTTCAGTGCTCCTCCCCTCATCCATGGTCTTCAGATCGCATATCGCGAAAACTGATTCTTCATGATAAAGTGCGGGGAGACGGTGACCCCAAGACAAATGCGCGCGTACACGTTTTTACTGCAAATGCGGCTTATCACTCTAAAAACATCCTGGTGAAGAGACAACTGGACAGACACAAGTGGTCACAAGATAGATCATTTGTTCTATCGTTGCTATGGTTTACAGGGCTTACACAATCATTGTGCATCCAGTAACTCCAAGCAACCTAAACACATCCTCTGCTAGTGAGTATTGGCTCATGCATGTTTAACTCTAGCCCCGCTGAAGCTCACGAAAGTATTCTATCTCGAATATCGTGAAAACTGAAACATGAGGCGGCCTGTGTGCAGCACATTCAGTTGTAGAATGCCATAAACGGGAGATTCAGTTGAGTCTCTCATGAAAACCAAATTGATTTGCAAATCAGTGTATTTCTCCAAAACAGTGCAATTTGGGTTCGAGTAGAACATAAGGTTGACGGAAACTCGGGTACTGCGACTACCTGATGAGTCCCAAGAAGGGCGAAACCGGTCATGTGCTGTCGAAGAGTTTTCAGTAACTTTGTGAGTAGTTTCCCTTATTTTCTCTCTCTCTTTAGGTTTGATCTCGCAGTCGGAGCTGTGTCAAGTTGTGGCCGGGCATGTTGTGAAGTGAATCTTAGACAGAGACTAAAGACCGTATGCCATTTTGTTGTCTCCGAGCGGGACAAGTATGGATGTCTAGCTCGTTTAAATGCAATCCAACTAATATCAAAATATCTGGCTGATCACTTCTCCACTAAACTGTTTGCTGGAACATTAAGCGCCAACACACTCAACATCTCAACAGGTGTGCCTGTTGTGCATCACTTGGTTAGTCCGGTAGGTGAAACCCAGAACGGAACTGCTACATACACGTATGAATGAGTAGAATGGAGGGGAACGCGTAGCCTCATATGCATTCATATTACTGCAATGTTCGTGCTCCCTACGATAAATGGAGAGAGTTACGTCCGCGTTTACTGTTCGCCCCAGGTTTAGCAAAACTGACATGTGATATACCATGTAAAGCCGAAATTTCGATGTCCTACCATCCGAACACATCCTGCATTAGTCACCGATTGTTTGTGCATCCTAGTGTGCATGTCCTGTCTGCATTTCGCACATATGTCGCGTATATGCCAAAAAATATCAAATGTACAAATTTACAACAGTGTTGGTCAGCCGTCCTACTAAGGTGTTGACATCAACCTCCAAACTCCACTTGGGCAGGTCCGAACGTAACGGATGTGTGACCGCGTCCAAGCTGCGGTCGTCAGCCCTTCTCTGTACAAATAAGCCCATGGGCAGGACCGATGAATTGAGGGACGTGTCTTGGCCGGGGTGGTGGTGGTGGTGGTGGTATGCGACTATCAGAACGGTCCATACTGATTTCCAATGCGGAGCACCTAATTGTACATACACACACAAACAACGTGTTCGCAATTTCATTCGGAATTTGTAGCATTCGCACCCACAACTCCCTCGATCGAACGGTTATCCTCCTGTCCTGGCGTTCTAATTCTGTTCGGTCCGCACCGGCGCTTAGTATTCTCACAGTGGAAGTGAATTTTCGAAAGCTACGACGTGTCCCTGATGGACTAAAACGGACAGGTAGAGTGCCAGTTTTATACTTTTGAGCCCCATCTAGGAATCCCGGGGTCTCAGCGATGCCGGAAAAGTATTCCGCCAGACTTTTTCCGCAGGAGGCATGACTGCTTCAGTGGACAATGAAAAATTTGGTGGCCTGCGAAAATAGGAATATAGATTAGGAAGGTTTTTGGTTTGAGCACACACACAACAAAATGCAACATTCTGGCGCAAACAGTTTAGCTCTGCACGCAAACCTTTTGCGGCTGTGCGGCCGATGGATGGGCCCCGTCCACACCAAAAGCGGGCAACACTGAACTTTAGTCCCTCCCCTATCAGGCTTCAACAGGAGGCTGATGACCAACAGCATACGAAACAAGTTCAGTGTGGACGTCAGCGTAAGACGCAGTCAGAGAGGGTACTACTAAGGCGTTGAAGGTATGCAAAGCTTCTTGGTTCCGGATTAACTTCCTATGCTCATTATTCATCAATGGGAATTATCGGTTGAGCTTAGTTCTTCCCGGGGGGGGGGGTATTTTCAAAGGCTTTCTGTAAGCTTTGCCTACACTGTAAGTGTAATGCAATGAATCCTCACAACGATGGTTCTCCTTGACTTCGTGTGGCCTTAGTGGAAACAAAGCACTAGGCAACTTGGCCGACCACCGCAGAAAAATAAAGACAATCAAGTGCTTGTATGGATTCAGTGGGTCTATGACGTAGTGGAAATAATTCGATTAGAATGGAATTTGCAGACTTCTAAAATGTTCAAATCCAGTAGAGTCATTTCGCACATGGTATGTACAATCGGAATTCTTCAGGATTCCGAAGAGTGTCCGTCAGGTGCGTGGTTGGGCAGACAAACATGGGGGCGAAATTCAGCCATGAAAGGATCACAGGTAAAGACCAGAACTAACCTCCCAGATGTCCGGGGAAAGCTGTCGATTCACGACTGTCCATGCTCTGTGGACTTCGAATGGGGAGGACATTCATGACAGGTAAAAAACCAGGTAAAAACCATCATCATTGCAGAGTTTCAGGACGGAAAACAAAAATTTGTTCGGACTCACCTCCTCGAATAGAGCGAGAGGGGAAAACGGAGTGCTCAACATCGCCCTTCATGGGTCACGCTTGTTAGCAGCTGATGGGATACATCGTTGTAGGATGCTCAGTGGAGTGCAACAGGGATCAAGTTCTGAGTAACCGGAGCAGGTACACTGTTCCCCAAGAGACAGTTCATTCCCCAAAATGATTAGAAAAGCAGTCCCATGTGGGCATGAATTAGTGTTAAAACCTGGCTTCTCAGGAGCAGTGGTGTTCCATCTTCGGTGAGGTTATCACATATAGTATTAACCCTCTTAGGAAAGGTAAGCGTACCATTCTTTGTCCTCATTATTTATCACAACTGAGCAATAACGTATTTTCGCTCTACGAATAGACAATAACTCCAGGCAATCAGCGGTCTCGATGACACTAGTTATCGAAAGGAACAAATGAGACAGCTCCAGAAGCCAATTTTAAAATGCGCACAAGCTGATACGCCCGGAGAAGTCCTATGTGAACAAGGCAACGCGTCCTGATTTGACAGTACTTCCCCCCCCCCCCCCCAGGATAGAGCGCTACGGCACAAAACCGTTTTGGCCATGAAAGTGAGCACTGTTCGGGAGACCCCTCTTGGTAGGTCAGCGCAGATACAGTGAGTCTGTTTGAGAAAGGACCATTCGGATCAATTAAAACCCTCCACTCGTGCCAGGAACTATCTTTAACTGAGACTTGGTTTTCTTGACCATGAAGAAAGTGAAAACACACTTCACTCTAGGGTCACTTTTACGTAACTGCGTCGACCGGTTTCACACGGAATAAATTGTCAACATGACAGAAAGGCCAGTTGCATTCATCGTATCATTGCTAAAGTGACACATTTCTGATCGCGTCTACCAAATCTCAAACCCATGAGCACCATTCATATTTTCAACTTATGGAAGCTGGACAGTTTACAGCACATGACACTTGACCAGATCCTTTGTGGTGTCCATGATACCGTGATTCACGTACTGATTAGTATTCAGTGGTAGTTAACGCTCCAAAACAATCTGCAGTGAAGTGTGAAGCTGAGTTCGTTCACTTGTCACTAGATCGAAGCTCAGATTTCGCCTTCGGGTGTGCAGTTTTTTTGTGTACCTCTCTCTCAATTCAAGGGTAAGCATTAGAGGTTAGGAAGAGCTTCACTCGCATTGGTGCTGCATCACATCTGACAGAGATGTGCCTGGTGAAGTCAGTGAGTAAATCTCAAAGGCCCAGACCACGTCAGTCAGTCTACCTCATTTGTGATGTTAAAAGACAGACCATTAGGTCTAAAAAGTCAGTTCCACCAGGCCACAGTACGGGATGCATTGTCGCACGGTTGTCACCGACCGAGCACCTCAAACTGCAAGGTGGACAGCGCGTTTTTCGCAGACGGATGTAAGGAAAACTGCGAAAATTCCGTAGGCTATCGCTGCAATACAAACTCGTGGCCAATGACCGGAGATATTGTAGGACATGGTGGCTAACAGGATTCAATGTCATACGTACAGTCAGTCACTCTCCATACAGTTTGGATGGATTTATAGAGTCTTAGGCACCACAAAATGATGAATATGTCAGTAACCGATCACCCTCCCTATCCAATGATGATGATGATGATGATGATGATGATGATGATGATGATGATGTTGACGATGATGATGATGATGATGTTGATGATGATGATGGGACTTGAATGATTTTTGCCGGTTCCCAGAGGAAGGTGGGAACGTGTTCAGTTTTTCTTATCAATCCCAGATCGATCTCAGGCCTTAACTGGAAAGCTATCCTATAACCCAATTTGTCGCCGTTTAAGAGCTTATGGTTTGCGAAACGACGCTCCACTTTCTTCGTTTTTTCTACCCTGTCTAAACTTGACTATCCAAATGCTTAACTCATATCATTTAAAGCGGCCGATGTCTCATTTATCACGAAATCCCTTTCGTGTAATCATACTTCATCAAACAACATGTTACTTCGTGAATGTTACGAAGCGAGCGCAAAAGTGTTTGCGATGTTCAGACGCAACACACTACTCATAGGGCTTCCGAAAACTCTTCGACGGTTTCATGGATAGTATATCACGTCTGCACAAGCCACTGAGACATCTAGAATATTGTACGAATGTGCTGTCTGATGCAGCAAATTCAGTCGCTTAGGAGCATCCATTGATTCAGTTGGGTTTCAGATGGATCTTCGTCAAAACCATATTGGCATGCAAATGAGTGTATAAGCCGAATTTCGTGCATTTTGGGTTCAAGTAGAACATAAGGGAAACATGGAGATTGCACCGACCTGATGAGACCCAATAAGGGCGAAAATGATCGTGGGTTGTCGAAGAGTTTTAGCAACCTTATGAGTAGTGCATTACATCAATAAGATGCATCTTGATCTAGAAGCAAGGATCAGACCCATTGAAGCGTTTATCCCCCGGGGACGACGGTCATGACCGATTCCACCAGCGCTCTTTGCAGAGAGGACTGATTTTGGTTCATTGTGGACGGAGTTTTGCGGCCGTACAACAGATACATACAACAGATCTGTTGGCTAATTTGGGGCTAGAACTTTCCTTCCAAAAGGCTCTCTCCGCCATAACAGTAGCACTCCACTGTGACGCACTTGCACACATACATGTAGAGCTCTTTTGTCCTCCTAAGCCCACTTCCCATAAGTAACACCTCGAAGGAACAGACAGTTTCGATGATCCAGTTGCTATATTGTAAATACACCATTCCGTTTTGGTGGGAAGCCTACACCAAAAAGGGTAGTAGTTTTAGGATTAAACCTTTAGCCCTATAAATATCCCATACACGCAAACGGCCCAAACACTAGCGAAATCATCTAGTAATGAACTAAGGAACACTTTTGTTATATCTGCTGATTCGCCAATCTGTGGTGTTTGCTGTTGACCCGCTTCCAGTGCCCAGTGCCTGAAAACAGGCTCACAGAAGTGAACACAATAGCTATATTCCGAACAAGCGAGTGCGAGAGCGAGTGCGTGCGAGTGCGAGAGCAAAGGATAAAACGGCCCCACGCTATTAAGAGGGAACTTTTGACATTGATCCAGGCTGTCTGATAGGCGTTAGCGAACACCCGTCAGCATCGATCGTGCCTCTATGAAATGCCTGAACGCTGATCACATTCGGTCATGCTTCTGTAGCGTGCATGAGGACTCACTGGCTTTTGCTGAATCGATTGAATGATTGACTGACCTGGATGCTTGCCGGCATTCCTGTTGAGATTTTGGTGGAGCAGTAGGTTCCGGGCGTTCTGAGGTTACCTTCAGGAATCTGACGTTCCTGATAACTTTACACCTTTATGACAAAACACTCAAGTCTTAACAAAACAGCCACCGCACAAGATGTTGACAGTTTCGCCGGTAACTTCAACCGCGTTTAATTGATTAGATAACGCCAAACAGACCGAACGCAGGAGAAAAAGACATTCGAGTTGTGACCGGACGCGTCGCATGCTGTGATGTCAGCAACGACACCTCCACGGAATTGCCTGTCTTCTCCAAAAGAACAAAATAAAGCGGGACCAAGTGACACTTATGTTGTCAGGTATGATGCATATTTCAGAGCAAATAATGTATGGTGGTGGATGAAATACACATTTTTCTAGAAGACAACATTTATTGCTGAAAAAATGGATTCTGTATAAAGAAAGAATTGCACTCAGGCATTCTCGCTGAGCCAGCACCAGCGCGTGTGAAACTACTGGGTGACCTAAGTAATGCGTTGAAATATTGCCAACTCGCATGTGCTTACCAGTTTTTGATCAGACAGCTGTTGATCTATTCACCAGGCTTGGAAATTAACTCGAGACGGGCAACCAATAATGGGTGACCTTACAAGCAGTACTTTGTTTCGCAGGCTATAATTCTAGCCGTCTACGAACATTCCTGTTTATGTCAAATCACTTGTTCGTAACCGCAGTGATGGTCGGCTTCATCTGCATCCCTTACCTATCCGCTGATTCATGGATTAGTTGGATGCAGTCAGCGAAGCCAAACATATCTCTTCCAGTGTCACAAGTCAACTTGTTGTGTGCGATCCATCCGCTTGCTATCGACTGTTTTGACTCGGTAGCCCCTCTCTTACACATTCTTACCTATAGCTACCTCACCGTGAAACACCAATGTCAACATTTGGTCACCTCCAGTACACAACAGCAAGAAAAAGGCTCCCTGTCCGGTCGGTATGTTGAAAAAAGTGAATGACAGAAGTGGCTCTTGACCCCTACCGAATCTTACATTTCCCACTTCTGGACCAATGTTTCGAAAAGAGGCGGCTGCAGACTGTGGTTGGGACAGGAACAGAAAGATGGATAAAAAAGACACTGAAAGGTTATACCTACCTGATTTGCAAATCAATTTGGTTTTCACGAGAGACTCAACTGATCTCTCATGTTATGATATTCTACAACCGAATGTGCTGCACACAGGCCGCCTCAAGAAGGGTGAAACCGGTCGTGGGCTGTCGAAGAGATGCAGAAACCTTGTGAGTAGTTTCCTTTATGATAATATACTGCGATATCTCGAATATCGTGACAACTGAAACATGAGGCGGCCTGTTTGCAGCACATTCAGTTGTAGAATGCCATAAACGAGAGATTCAGTTGAGTCTCTCATGAAAACCAAATTGATTTGCAAATCAGTGTATTTCTCCAAAACGGTGCAATTTGGGTTCAAGTAGAACATAAGGTTGACGGAAACTCGGGTACTTCGCCTACCTGATAAGCTCCAAGAAGGGCAAAACCGATCATGGGCTGTCGAAGAGTTTTCAGCAACCTTGTGAATAGTTTCCTTTATGAAAATTACACATACCCGGTTGTTAGAATGGATATTTGTGATGAATTAACAAGGTGTTTGTTGTTCGACCAGCTGCTAAATGTTTTGAATTGAATGAGAAGTTCTCGGTACAGAAAAAGATCGGTAAACAGTCGGTGGTTTTGTTGTAGGACAACGATGCACTTTTGAAACAAAAGCCTTATCAGGTCAAGTAAATAGGTGAATAGGATGGGCGAGCATTAAGGCAGACGGATAACCCATCCGTGACATCTGTTTCCCCCAGCATTTTAACTCAGACTTGAATGTCGGATAAGGTTAGTGCGGTGTCGGTTAATGCAAGTGGCTAAATTTGGTGGCCGATGGATTGGAGGATTTAGATGGGGTCGGGTTCCTTAGTCTTCCGGTTCAGTGCATCTCAATTGATGATCTTCTTGGATGTCATCCGCAAATTTCACTTATCTGGGTGTGCTGTTAAGACAATTTGGTTAGGGTGTGAGATTAGGTGAACTTTTGGTCGACTTGAAAAATGTACTTAAGATCTGTTGGTGGCTCCTCTTCAGTGATAACCGCAAACCGCCAGATGTGAACTTGGCTGGTCGAAAACAAATTCTCGCAACCTTGTCGGTTCTATGCTTTCCATTCGCACTGAGATTCTTGGCTACTTTCACCGCCAGAGCTGTTGCGTCAAATGTAGTTCTCCCCTCAAAAATTCATCATTTGCTAAATCTATGTTATGTCCAGACATATTCCACCATTGCTGATAGTTTCGGTATCGCTCAATATTCATCTGCGCTTCTCCATTCTGCGCTGTCCATTCTTCTCCTATGCGAACCGATTTTGATGTGAATTTCACTCTATTTGTCTCTTTCATGTAAACCTCGTTGCATTTAATTTTGTAGACACAGTCCTTACCTTCAATTGCAGAATTCAGTATTTCCCTTATGGAACCCTTCTCTTATACTGATCGTGTTGGATGTCCATGGTTCGCATAGAATAACAGCGGTTTCAATCCATGGTTCGTTAAGCTTCGTTACAGGTACCAAGACACTTATTAACTGCCACTGGGTATCCACTATCTCATAGTCTGTTCCTTACTTCACTTTGGGCCACTGTCCAGTCAACTTCTTATATGCTCGAGGTCTTTACTCAGCTAAGTACTGACGAGGCAATACTAAAGAATACTGCCTCAGAATCTCACCAATGTCAGCTGGCTTCTGATACACTATAGTTTCTGTTATATCTGTTGATTCGCTGACCTGTGGTATCTGCTGCTAACCCGCTCCAGTGCCTAGTGCCGGAGAAAAAAAGACTCACAAAAGGGAACATAATAGCACTCAGCAAAAGTCTCAAAGTCACGTTGGAGCCAACGCGCGGGCGGTAGCGGTTGTATTTCAGTAAAACAAACTTTTGTACAGCGATGTGACTGGTAATGATGGGAAAAAAGAAGATGATACTGAGCATGAAAAAGAGCAGTTTACAAGTGCTACAATTTCCACCACCAGAGCTGTTGCGTCAGATGTAGTTCCCCCCTCAAAAATTCATGATTTGCTAAATCTATGTTAGGTCCAGACATATTCCACCATTGCTGATAGTTTCGGTATCGCTCAATATTCATCTGCGCTTCTCCATTCTGCGCTGTCCATTCTTCTCCTATGCGAACCGATTTTGATGTGAATTTCACTCTATTTGTCTCTTTCATGTAAACCTCGTTGCATTTAATTTTGTAGACACAGTCCTTACCTTCAATTGCAGAATTCAGTATTTCCCTTATGGAACCCTTCTCTTATACTGATCGTGTTGGATGTCCATGGTTCGCATAGAATAACAGCGGTTTCAATCCATGGTTCGTTAAGCTTCGTTACAGGTACCAAGACACTTATTAACTGCCACTGGGTATCCACTAT